GTTATATTTTTCACCCAACCCTTCAGGGAACAAAGCATTACAATAACCCTGCTTCTTTTTGGGACGCGCTAGCTTGTCTTGTAACCTTGGGCGACTCCTTTTCCTTTTTCGCACTCGCATCCTGCTTCTGAAAACCTTCCACTTCTTCCCGCTCCTTTCTCTCCGCATAACCACTGCCCCGCCTGCAACACGAGCACGCCAACTAGCACCAGGGCCAGAATCGTATTACTCGCTGAAAGCACCTTCAAACTGTCCTCCCCTGCCCCAGAATCTGATCGGACGCTTCCTCAGCCACTTTCGCGCCATAATCGCCAGCGGTGACGATGCGAAGACCCTTGACGATGTTGGCAATGTACACGATGACGCCGCACATGTAGAGCACGAGACTGGCACCGTCGAAGAGCATGTTTGATTCGGAGGGGCGGTAGAGCTTCATCAGGAGGCCGATGAGGCCGATGGCGATGACGATGTGGAGGATGCGGGGGATGAGTGGCGGGGAGGCATGGAGGAATTTCAGGTGTGCCTCTAGGTAGTCATAGTGGGAGGCTGGGGTGGGCGATGGGGACCAGAGGAGCGGGTAGTCGTAAGGGAACAGGGAGAAGATGATCCCGAGGAAGAAAGCGGTTGCTGCGAGGGAAATATCAGTTTTGGTTCCTTTAGATCGGATCTTCAAAGTTTTTGTATGGATTCCAATCGACATGTTCAATGCCATGATGATATCTAGGGGATAGGGCTGTTGGGACACGCGGAGATCGGAGCTCTTGACGTACGACAGACGATCAGAAAGGTCGCGAACGACCCGTTTGTGAATGCCATGGGGAATTGCCTTCTCGACGATAGTCACGCGCGACACGGGATAACGAGTATAACTGTATCTGTCCGATCGAATCATCAGTGATCAGGACTGCAACGCTTCAAAGGGAAATCGTATGGCGCACGATTGAGGGTATCAACCTGACAGTTTCACCCAAAAGTCAATACAGACAATGGCCTTAGACACCCTGTTTTGAGTGTAAACAGGAAAGGTACGCGACAACCGGAGCTGAAGAAGTCAACGGTCAATGAGAGCCTGAATCCATGCAGAAGCGAAGAAATCAACTGTGGCCTGTTTGGGCGCCAGCAGACCTTCTAGAAGGGGTTTAATCGTGCGGAATGTCTTGGCAGTTGCAACCCCACACCCCGGCAGGATTAGTCATCCGCGCTTAGTAAACCACCGAGGGACTAGCCCAAAGGGGAATATCGGCCCGAAGGCGGTATCCGGCGCAGTGCAGAGACTCAGAGCGCAGGAATATCGAGCGGCTTTCTATATGAAGATGGTAATAATAGCTACAGAGTACAGAGTAAAAAGGAATACAACCACACATATAACTCAGTCGATCCTGTATGAATTGCGATTGGTTCTGGTTCATTCTGGCTTGAAGAAACGGGTAGCCCGGGGGCCCGCAGTCCATTTTCTCCGTCAGCGCCACTTTGAAATCACACTGATCATGCCGCTCCAGTGCACCCGACTTATGAAGCATTACCATTGGACCCCACTTGCGCTCATCCGCGGCAGAGTTTGGGCTGCGGACGCCATCCACCAGGATGTGCCTATCTAGTTTCCTTCAGGCTCGATTATCCCCTCTCAATGCAATGGTCGAGACTCAAGGGTTTGCACTGTCTCGGTCCAGGGTCAAATTTAGCTTTCTTCAACACATCACTCTTTGAACATCGACTTCAGAAGAAAGGCAAAGTCTGGAGCAAGCGAGGGGGTCAGTGCAGACGGGCTCAACGATGTGCTCCGTTCTCCGTAGGTGGAGGCGGATAGGGATTATCTAGCGTTCCCTGGTTTGAAGGGTTCTGGAGACTGAAAGCTAATCAGCCGTCCAATTCACTTGTGATCCCTGTCTTGCTGTAAATTAGCCTTGCGTAGAGGGGTTGTCATCTCAACTTAAATCATCAAGCCCCCCTCTCCCAGCGTGCCCCGATTCGAAAATCTTTCATCCTTGTCCCATCGATTCACCCAGCAAGACCTGGTATCAACATGGCGGGCTCATCGAAAGACGGAGGAAAACTACCCGTCACCTGCAGGTACGCCAGAGATCCAAGCGGAGGACCTGCGGCCAGGAGAAGAGAACCATGTACGGGGGCTCGTGTGTTGTGTCATGATTTGGTATCAGTAATCTAATTTCACTTCCCACAGCTCGAAGTAGACGACGACTCAGCCTACGAATCGTCAATTTCAGGGAGCGACAGCACGTCATTGCGATCATCCATCACAAACTATCAATACGAAAACGGTCGTCGATACCATGCTTACCATGCTGGAGAGTACTTTCTTCCCAACGACGAGGCAGAGCAGGATCGGCTAGACCTTCAGCACCACATCTATCGACTTAATCTCGGCGGTTCGCTATATAATGCACCGATCAAGGCCCCCCAGCGTGTCTTGGATATTGGAACAGGAACTGGTGAGTATCAGGTCTGGAACAATATCCATTGCTTGAGCTCGACCCGGAAATAGCGACACAACAGATCCATGCGCTAAGATGTGTACTCCTTAGGGATCTGGGCAATTGAATTTGCGGACGAATTTCCCGGTGCTCTGATCATTGGGACCGATCTGTCGCCCATCCAGCCCGGATTCGTTCCCCCCAACGTAAAGTTCTATGTCGACGACTTTGAAGCGCCGTGGGAGTTTGGCGAAGACAAGAAATTCGATTACGTCCACTGGCGTTCGCTCTGCGGAAGCACGAACGATTGGCCCAAAGTGTACAGTGAGGCGTTCAACAACCTAAAACCCGGAGGGTGGCTGGAAGTGCAAGAATATGATGCATGGATCTTTAGCGACGATGATCCGGAATTGAAAAAGGCCCCAAATACCCTCCACTGGGTAACGAAGCTGAGCGAAGTCAGCGACAAGGTTGGAAAGCCGCTGAACGTCGCCCAATTTCAGAAGAAGTGGATGGAAGAAGCTGGATTTCTCGATGTCCAAGAAAAGGTGATCAAGGTGAGCAAACTGCTATAGCATCCTCTCTTCCTTGTCGTTAACCGAGCCCTCAGGTTCCCATCGGCCCGTGGGCACGCGACAAAAAGCTCAAGGAGCTTGGCCGTTTTGAACGGTTGCATATGAACGAATCCGTTGAGGCTCATTCAATGGCTTTTTTCACCCGAGGCTTGAACTATTCCACGGAGCAGGCAAAAGTAACATTTGAGTTGGTGAGAAATGAGTTCAACGACAAGTCTCTGCACCTGTACACTGTTTATCGGTTCATCACTGGACGGCGGCCCTAAACATGGCTAGAAAACGTTTGATGTCAGTCTATCGCTTCAAGGACTGGGGATGGTTGTCTCTCCGCTTTGGGCCTTTTCGTAATGGGTATACGAGGTTATGAGGTGCCACATTGCGTTGGTTGGTTCAAGTTGGGTGTTTGTTGCGCCATTACGGAGTATTCTTTTCAAGTTGGGATGGAAACCATCAGGAAATTCACTCAAGATAAAAGCACCAGAAGATATTGATCACAATATGGGATGTGTCGTTAGCTATAAACATCTATTAATAGAACAATGAGATCGATGTGACAGGTCTTAATAATGGGCTGCAGGGCCTGTGCTCCCCTCATTTGATGACCGCCATCGCTGGGTACACTTGGAATATTTTCCACTCCCTTTGCTGCAAAGGATGTGTTCTTGTCTTTATAAATAAATAAACAATACATTGCCATCTAAGCAGGAGGTTGACAGTCCGTGGCATCCCTTTTAGTCATTATGGAATCTCTACGCAGCAAGGACCGGAGACCAGTCCTCTTTTCTCATCCACTGCTCCAGGGTCGTCATCGGGCAGTCAATGCCAGCCTTGAACAAACGCGAGGGTTAGTTAATTGCATCTAATTGAGCAAATGCAGCTCAAAGCAAGTCATGATATACTCACGGCTCGTAGGTCCTCCGCCTTCAATAGTGAGTCGTCACCGCCATCGTATCCCGGATCGGATGAATATGCAAACATATCCCCGACTTCTCTCCCGAATTCCTTATCGGGCGTGGATTTAATGATTTGTTCAATGGTAACTTGCTCATAACTTGATTTGAGACCAGTAACCTGGCTCCAAATGCGCATATACTCGCTCCAACTGCAGATTGATCCAGCGGCCATGTAGGCCCTGCCGGCAGGCATTTTGGAAACAGCATAAACGAAATTCCCGAGATCTTCATTGACAGCGAGGTGAGGTATCTTTGCGTCAGGAGTGGTAGGGAAGCACATTTTGAAAGTCCCGTCGGGCATCTAAATACAGAATCTTGGTCAGTCACTTGTTTGAGTTGAAGAGATGCGTTATACCCAAAATAACGGGAAATCATTGAAAGTCTGGCACCTTTTGGAAATACGCTTCGGGAACCAGCTTATAACTAGAGTTGAAAAACCCCGTCTGAACACACGACATCTTCTTCGCCAAGTTTGGGTACTTTTCATTCACATAGCCGGGGAAAATATCCGCCTTTGAATCGAAATGATACAGCTCGTCGAATTTGCCCTGGCTACACTTTCCTGCATGGCTCAACGTCGAGACGAGGAATCCATTCTCATCCAAAGTGTCGACCGTCGCCGCAGCGGCATCTGCAATGTTCTTCCCTTGCTGATACTCGACATCGTAAGCGTACTTTCGGCAGGAAATCGAACTTTCCGCAGCCCGTTGGCGACAGTCGGGTCGGAAGAACGGCTCCCAATAATTTGTGACGCTGAATATGACATTTGCGCCCGCAAACGCAGGGATCAGCGTGTTCACATCATCAAGGTCCGCTTTGACGATTTCGATGCCCCGAGCGGCGAGCTTTTGGGCGACAGGCGAGTCGGGGTTGCGGGTAAGCCCGCGAACCCGGTAATCCGGGTCCTTGGAGAACCGTTCGGCGACAGATCCGCCCTGGTTGCCAGTAACTCCGACGACGCAGATAAGCTTCGGCATGCTGGTCGTGAGAGCATCAAGTACACAGAGAAAGCGCAGAATTTGGACTCTCGAAGGCGCTCCCAAATGGAACTTGAATCTGCACCCGTATGAATCACAGTGAATACTGGCCCAAGTGGAAAGACCGCCCCAAGAGTAGTAAGGTTCTGGAATCCCCCGCTATTATCGGCCTGCTCCACCTGGTTTAATTTTCCATGGCGAATCCTGCAAGGACCACCGCCCAGAGAAGAGGCATCATGTCATGAGGCATATGCGCAGTATACTTGATAGTTACGTTTTTCACCATCAGGAATGGGTTTCGAGTTCCATACAGCCGCCTCCAAAAGGAAATATCCATACTATCGGGCCATAACTAGCTTGGCCGATCTCGGTAAAACCAATTCTGGGTTTTTGCTGACGTAAGAAGTGCATCGACTTGCATCCAACCTTCTGAGAAGCAAAAGGAACTGATATCCTGTGAAAAGGAAGCAGTGCGGTATTGATGAGTCCTTGGGTTAGCTTCAACAGCCCAGGAAGCGAGATCTTTGTTATGTGCGGTTGAAGGATGTTGCCGTCTTAGCTGCCGCCTGTCATGGTTATCGTCAACTTCGGTCTGTCCTCTCTCCGCCATTCGGCTTCTCTTGTCGGACCATGCCTCAAAGCATACACGAGTACGTCTGGCAAGTCGCAACGGAGTAACTCCCCGAAGACGCACCATTTACATGGCTATATCCTTGAAAACGGAGCGTGGTCTTTGGTGCGCAAATCTGGACAGTGCCACAAGCAAGGACAGTGCCACAAACAAGGGAAAGCCGATGCATTCCTGCGGTTCGAGTCGAAGGCGTGCTTGATTACTTGGTGGCCTTTTATTATGCCCTACCCATTAAACGTTGGAAGTTGAACCAACGCGGGAATATCGTCAGCCTCTGGGCCGGGTGCAAAGAAACGTCTCCAAGACATGGTTTTATCGGTTTAAGGGCGGGGCCCGAGGCGGTCAGAATAAGGTCTCGAGAATGTCCAGACGGCGTTTTCAAACGCCAACTCAATCCTGACGATATTATCGACACAGCCATTGGTGTTTGCCGCTAGATGCATATGCATTAGTGATGCTTGTGGACCACGATCTCTATCAGGACGAAGAATTGGATTGATCTGCCTCCGTAAACTCAATGCCACAGGCCAACGGTCTAGTCAAGCCCAGCGATCTATCTCCCATGGAGGCTGTCTGGCTGCATACGCTATTCCACCACTTGACAGCTCAGGCCCCTGCTGACCTGGTTTCTGGGTTCTGGTTCGGACGTATTCGCAGCCCGGTTTCGCCTGAGCTGGGACATTGTTTTGGCATAGGCGATTGTGTGTATCATGCTTGTTTAAATGCAGGGCAGTGCGCACCTCGTCGAGGATATGCGGCAGCCTCTGATGTTTGTCCAATTGATCTGCTGAAAATAGTGCATGCCACTCAGACCGAGCCGATAAGACGTTAAGAGGCACTCCTTGATATCTGCAAGAAATATCCAGACGTCCATTTGCTTGCATCTTTTGGCGTCTAGATCTATACGAGGCTGCGCCATTAGAATAGCGGCAGTGTTCAAAGGGATGGATTTCAATAAAACTAGCTTGAGAGTTCAGTATTGGTGAAGCAAAACATTTCAAAAGATGTTTGGTGAATGCCTCTTTCATGACTCCCCTCAGCTGCACGTGATTGCAACTGTTTACCCAATCTGTCATTCAGCCCTTCTCAGGACACGTTCACTTCATTCCTCCATCTTCATCACCAAGTGCGTTCCCTCTGGCCTACTTCCTGGCAAGAGCGAATTGGCCTGGGTGTGTGAACTGGCCTGAATGTGGTTTGTGGTTCTCGATATCGAAAGAACGACCACAACAGAAACAATCTATAACTATCTTGCTCTTCTGGACAGATATCCTCTTTCGACCTCATCTCTCTTGTACCTTGTTGCTACCGTGACCCTTCTTCATATTAAGCCCCATCCATTTGTCTGCAGATAACTTGACGGAGAACTCCCTGAGATCATGGCGTCTGATGCGAAGATGATCGAGGAGTTCTGTAGCAAGAGGTTTGACTATCTCATCCTTGGTGGTGGGACCGCCGGCCTTGTGCTAGCTGCAAGACTCTCCGAAGATCCTTCTATTACCGTCGGAGTCCTGGAAGCAGGGGAGCTAGAGCCTGATAATGCTCCCACTGGGGAGTTGTTGTTGAACTTCTCAACTAGCCCTGAAGATCCTGCCCGCGACTGGGGATTTCAAACTGAGCCTCAGGTTCGTCAACTTCTGCCCCTATGATTTGGGAGACATACTGAAAAGCATCACTCACAGCGTTATGCCGATCACAATGTCTATGACTGGCCCAGCGGCAAGGTTGCTGGGGGTTCAAGCGTCACCAACCACGAAATACTCTCCAGGGGTTTCAAAGCCGAGTATGACGACTGGGAAATTCTAGGCAATCCAGGTTGGGGCTGGGAAGGCCTGCTTCCTTACTTTTCAAAAGTAGAAGCTCTTCAGTCTGTTATGTGTGGCGATAACGACTCTCAAAACGCTCACGAGCCAAACGAAAATGTGGCCGCAGAACCGGTTGAAGGTACTACCGTCCGCAACGGAACCAGATACAAAACCGTTTGGCATCATGCCTGGGCTGAACTCGGCATATCCGAGTGTAACGCTGGCCTAAAGCACCGACAGGGAATCCAGGTTAAAGAATCGCCTGCCAACTTACCCGCAAGTGCTCAATTCAATTCTATGGCAGTTTATTACCGTCCAAGTATGCATAGAGAGAACTTGCATTTTTTGCCGACTATCTTGATTTCATCCGTGAAATTCACCAAAAAGGAAGGGAGCAAGTTGATTGCCACCACAGTTGAATTTATGCATTTCAACAAAACTTATAAGTGTGAAGCTGGAATGGAGATAATCATCTGCTGCGGGACGGTGATGTCTCCTGGAATCCTCGAACGATCAGGCATAGGTTCAAAGTATATCCTTGACGGGTTTGGCATCGAGACACTCGTCAACATATCTCGAGTGGGAGAAAACCTTCAGGACCACAGTTATAGCTATAACCTTGTGGAAATGCCCGGCGAGGAAAGCTTACTGAATGAACGACTGGAGCAGCTTGAAGTCGAAGGAACTGCGGTCGAGAACCGCAATCCATCTCAAAACGGAATCTTGTCTTCCATGTCCAATCTGATGTCGTATGTCGCTTACGGACAGGCTTCCATGGGTCGTGTGTCGGCACCATCTGAAATAGACCTCGACGCCATCCGCAGAACCCCGTTACTGCGCAAACAATACGATCTCACTATCAGACGCATCCGCAATCCTAAAGCCCCGTGCTTCCAGTATTTGATCGTTCCCAACTATCCCTCGAATCTGCTCCTGGAACCGTCCTCGGAAGACACGGAAAACTGTGTAGGAATTCTGACTTCGGTGTCGACGCCTTTCTCACGAGGTTCGGTCCATATTGAAAGTGACAATCCGCAGACCTACCCCTCTATCAACCCGAAATACCTCGAACATCCACTAGATTTGAGGCTGTTGAGAGCAGCGACGCGAATGTCTCTTGATTTTCTTGCCACTGGTGCTGTCACCAGTGCTGTCAAGGACGTAATCATTCCATGTGATCCAATGTTGACAGAGCGAGACTTTGATGAACACTCTCGCGAGACGTGCGAAAGTTTCGTGCACCCGATTGGTACGTGTGCGATGATGCCAAGAGAGGATGGTGGTGTGGTTGATCCAGATTTGATTGTTTATGGCACTGAGAATCTTCGTGTGGTGGATGCGAGTATCATTCCGTTGCATATCTCTGGGAACATCGGGTGGACTGTTTATGCGATTGCTGAAAAGGCAGCAGACATGATCAAGAGTCAGCAGCACAAGTTCAGGAACGCTGTCTGACTGGTGACGAGCAACATGGCCCAGTGTGCGCTGCTCATCCATTCTTATTAGGCGGGGAGGTTCGGCTCTTGCTTTGCGAACTCGGGTGTGACATTGCTTTTACTCATGTTTCTTGCTTGCACTGTATCGTCCAGTTAACCATTTAAAAATAATAGTGTAGTTTTAATGAAAATGAAAGCAATTCCAGTCCTGAGTATCAACATCAAATCAAAGTGGAAGGTATAAGCTTGGAACCTTCGCTTAATAGTCAAGGAGCATTCCTATAGCTCAAGAATTTGTCTAAAGATTCCTCCAGAGCGTTTTAGATACGGAAACCTCCCTCCACTACCCCACCATCGATATCACGACTCCCAACCAGCCGTCCGCATACCCAGCACACCTCACCAACTCCTCCACCGGCGCGCTCATCGGCACCACCGCGCCATGAAGCACGGGCCTCGCCAGCACCGGCGTCCGCTTACTCGGAAATAAACTGGGCAGCAAAGCGTTCAGCGCCGTGCCGACGGTCTGCGTCTGGGATTGCGTAGTTCGGGCGGCGCTGCTGATGCTGGATGCGGGAGACGCGGTGGAGGGCTGGGTCAGCGGTGGGATGGGCGATTGGATGACCTTTAGAGCAGGGGAGGGAGAGTCTGGGGGCGCAGGGAGGAAGATGCGTATTGGGATGTTGCGGAGGGGGGTAGGCGGGGAGGGGAGGAGGGTGGTGTTGTGGATGCGGTGGTAGAGAGGGAGGTTATCTAGAGGATTTTCGGGGTGAGAGGGCCGACTGGTGTTAGTTACATTTGCCCGCTGGAGAAAGGGGACTGGGGACGGGGGGGAAAGGCATACGCTCTTCGACACTTTTCCATAACCCCGACGAGTCTTCCTTGGATAACGCCATGATGCGTTTTGCGGTTCCGTTTCGCAGGCAATCGGCCTCCTTGACGCTGTTTATGAAGGCGTCGTGGAGGACTTTGCCCTCTGCGTCGAGCCGGATGAGATCTTGCTCCGGCCAGTCGTGAAAATGCACCGTCAGCCTCCACGGTAGCCCAGGATGCTCGTCGCTCTCCTCGCCATGCGTCGTCTGCCGCCCGCTTTCATGCTCCGGCCCGGGTGTCGACGGAGACTTGGACGTAACCGGCTCCGCGCCTGCGTACAAATCATACAGCAGCCCAACCGGATAGTGCCATTTCAGCGGGACGCCTTCAAAGGAGAACCAGCCGTCATGTGGCCGCACGTCCGGGTCGATAAGCGACGAAGCAAAAAACCGCAAGATCCTGGGTAGCATAAAGGGAAGATATGACAGTCGCGGAACTGATATCTGGGATCAAGGAGTGCAAAATGAGTAAACCAATGCATGTTTCTTTTTTTTTTTCAAAAGCACCTCCCCCCCCCCTAATGCACCAACAAAAAAAGAGGTTTTGCATACGATATATGGATCAGATTGATCATACGTCCTGCATTCTGATGGCGACAGGACGATTTGTAGCGGAATCCGGCCCTGCCAGACTCGCTGTTGGATGGAACTCGCCGAAGCTGCCGTCGCTGCCATTCTCTGGAAATCGGACACACCAGCTGGGCCAAGATGGTGTTGCAATTTCACCAAAGAGCCCACCGTCGTCTTCCAGAAAGACCGCTGGGGCGCGGCGAGGCACTACTGGAAGTGTTAGTCAACCTGTTTGTAGAAGAGGGATGGATTCTCACAATTAGGACAATTTTGAATTCATGTCTTTTGCTCAAGGTCTTGTAAAGATGTTGTGCTTCTATATGGAGTAGGTCAGGTGGGTGAAGTGTCTTGCAGCCTGAAGCCGTTGGTTAATTAGCAGCCGGTTCCATTGACCAACCCTGATCAAGTGTCCTCTCAATGAGTTTTTGGACGACACAAACATTCCTATATTGCGACACACTGCAACTTGCTTTTACGGTAGTTCATTTTGCCAATTCAGTGCAAAAGCCTATTGGAATTGATGCTCTTGGTCCCCACCAGATATGATAACTCTACCAAACATGAATTTTACAGCCTACGCAAAACCAACTGCGGTCAACATTGAAAGAAAAAGGGGATGTCGTGGATTCTCTATTCTATACAAAAAAAAAAGGTAATAGCCGTTCTCTAGTCTCTCTAGAAGGCCTATCAAAGCCATCGTACATCTGCAGCACCCTTCTCTCTCAGCCCAGCCCAGCGCCCATATCTACGATCCGCCCCGATCACCAAACTCGAAAGGACGTTTAAAAGGGCTGTTCATATCATCGAATCATCAGCGCTCGCTGCAATTGCAGAAGAGTGCAGAGCCAATCGGGAAAACTCACGTTATCCTCAGGATCGATATGTTTCTCCCAATAACTGCCGATGACGGGAATCTTCATCAGGATATCTTGACGGACGCGCGGGACATCGCCAAAGAAGAACAGCGCGAAGATGCCAGTGGCGATGCCAAATCCAGAAGCGATGGTGCCGCTGTTTCGTTTTGGTTGCGAGGAGGGCGGCGGAGTTAGCACATCCAATACTTGCATCCTTTTTTTTTTGTTGTCGTTGCTGGCGGCTGGAGTGGCTTGCGGCGGGAGTTTGCGGGCGAGGGAGAGAGACGACTTACTACTTAGTGGCCTGGGCCAATGTCATCCCATTGAAATGGAGGGCGGTAGAGTATCTAGATGCGAAAAAAGACCAGCAGTTAGCCAGACTCCCTCGGTTTTCTGAATGCAGCACGATGAGACGACCACTTGGATCACCCAGCCCAGAGCGCCGAAGCAATCGGGAAAAAACAGCCCGGTGTCAAAATCTTCCCTCCGGGAGGGAAGCATTGTCCTATCCAACATCTTTCCCCAAGATCCCAAGTAGTCACAACCCACTTCCATGCCGCAATTCCCTCCTCTTCCGTCACCAGCCAAGCCCAAGAATATTAAAAATCCCAAACAGCATAGTGGGAAAGAAAACACGCAGGGGGGAAAAACCGGCATCTCACCTCGGCGCATACGGCGATCGATAGGTGCCAAAGGCAGAAGATCCGGACGTTCTCTGAGCCTAATGAAAGAGAGAACACAATTCAAATTAGCACCCCCTCGTCATTCCTAGGAATGTAGACCCATAGCAAAACGATACAAGCTACATACCATTGTGTCTGTTGAACAGTCGATCCGTTCTGTGAAAAACCAATTGAGCCTGTGGGTTGCTGTTCAATGCTTCAAGACTCGCGCAATCATTTCCGGACGTCCTGATTGGCACATGGCGGCTTGGCATCGACTCCTTCACGTGATATCAACTTCGCATAGAGAAGGTCGAGGAGAACAAGTCGACTGTTATCTGTTCATCTATTTAATAATCCAGAGGGTCTTTAATTGACTACAAGGTAACTGCATTGCTTCGTCACCGCCTACAATCACAAATGGTGTCTCTCTTTTTCATCTCTTCAATCATTGTAGCTGTTCACGAGTCTATCTTCAATAGGAAAAAGGGTGAAATTGGTTTTTTGTTAAAACAAGAAACAGAATGGGGTACTCATTTCGAAACCGCAAAAAGCACGAGAACCAAAGCTGGAGAAAGCATAGAAACCAGAAACACAAGAGCCGACAGATTAAAAAGAGCTGACCCACGACAAGGCGGATCGTACGATACAAAATGGAACTCAAGAATGTACAGCAGATAACAAACACGCTACCCTCTTCTCTTCCACCGTGCCTCGATTTTATTGAAGCCCTTTTTGCTCATTTTGTAATCAGCTCGCTTCCTTTTGGCCCTCTGACTGGGTATGTTCTTGTTTTGCCTCGAAATATTCGAATTTCGAGCATCGCTCGATGCTTTTCCCATTTTCCCTTTTGGAGTTACCGCAGAATCATTGCACTTTTTGCCGCCGGCCCCCGATTTTGTCGACTAATAAGAAAACACAGCCGTAAACGATATGCTCACCGCCTTTTAGAGATCAAGGAGAAGAGTAGCCAATTGGAATGTGAAACCGTATGCAGGAATACAGTAAGTGAAGGCGCAGGGAGAACGGAGATTTGAGATTATCTTCTTTTCCCCTTCCTCGAACGTAAAGGTTGGGGGTTGGTATATGCAACTCTAAGACATCCACCCCCGTAAACGACAAGGCGAAATAGGATTATAGGTATGCCAGAAGCAAAAAGAGAGCACGGAAAACGGCAAGGAAAAGGGATAAAAATATGCTGGTTAAGGCGGCCGTGACAAGGCATAATATGATCTGCCATAAGGCGGTGAAGACTGAAGAGACGTCTCACACGACAAGGAGAAAATTGGAGCAGAAACAAAGTCGAAAATCTTTTTGCCATTCGGAAAATAAAAATGAATAAACCAGTGCGACACAAAACGCAGAAGGTAGTCTATTTCGAGGCGGAAAATGAGTGCCTGAGGAGCCCAGTAAATGGAGAAAAAGCCACCCTGCCCAGTAGAAAACATATGTATAGAGAAAATGGGGTAAAAAAAAGCTTGGAACGAGATGCACCCACACATGAAATATGCTCCGAGTCTATAAATGCCGGTGTCTGATTGCCTTTTGAGAAAAGCAGTCGATTCGCGCCCTGCGCACGTTCGACTGGATGAAAATATGAAAATAGAAGCCGTTGCAAATCGATCGGAAAAGTAGTAGTGGGACGACAGTAACTGTTTCGGGGAGAACTGAAGTACAGACCACCAATGAATTGGAGCATATTTCGGGTGCGGTCGGGATCTTTGGCGTGCTGTTGGCAAGGAACGAGTGTCGTAGGGCCGAAGGTGGATTTCTCAGGATAAGGACTTGCGGGAATAAGTAGAATCTCCGGTAAGCCATAGCGTTAAAATCTCCAACCACGCTTGATATTTTTGTAACCACGTAAAAATCCGCCGAGAAGACACAGGGTACCGCCGAAATTGGACCAATCATTCACAACCCGCACAAGTTGTCCGACGAAAGAAAAATCCACGTATCTGACCAGTTTAAACCATTCCTCGAGTTGTGCACATTTATTGTCGCGCCGTTTGAACGGTTCCTGTATTCCAGACGAAAGCAAAGAAAAAAGTCAACGAGCTGATTCGCTATTTCAAATTCTTAATTTTTTTCTTCTTCTTTTTTTTTTTTTTTTTGCAGCGAATTTGTCTCTGCGACTTGTTAAACTTTCAAAGCGGGGTGGGAAGGGCCTGACGTACCATCGCCGCCAAGGCTGGTCGAGGCGAGATAGAGCCCATTCAGACCGCTGCTCTCCTGGGTCCCGCTTGTCGCGGCAGGGTAGAACTTGCGGTCGTTATCCATCTGCGCTCGCATGGCATCGGAGACTGGCGCCATGGTGGAAGGGAAGACCGGGTTCATGTAACCTTCATGCGCACCGGGCTGGAGCATGGTCGACCAGTCGATGTCACTGGCATTGCCGGTGGCATTATTATTACCATTAGCGTTTGGTCCTGGTCGTTTGCTGTTGTCAGGGAGGGTAGTAGGAGGTTTTGTCGGATCGATCGGTGGAAGACCGACATGGTTCAACTGGCCAACTGTGTCAGTTCCCGGCTGCATGAGCAAATGATTGTGTTTGGGTTCAGCCATCCAAGGGCTTCTCGGATGCACCTGGTTAGGAGTGAAGGCATGGTCAACTGGACCACGGTTCATTCCATTCGCCGGGGGCATCTGATAGCCAAGATGGTGATGTTCGGCGAATCTGGGTTGCTGGGTTGGAGCCACGGCAACCCCATTCACAGGAGTTTCCCCAAACGTCGTACCGACAATGCCATTAGAAGTCGAAAAGGAACTACTAACATCACCCTGAACGGGCTTTGGAACAACGCCCGCTGCTTGAGCTCTTTTCAAATGCGCATGTGGATGCGATAGGTGGCTAACTCCAGTCGGGTTTCCCCTTCGCAGAGAGCATTTTTGGAAGTGACGCTTCAAGATATCACTGCGCGAGAAGGTGTCCTTGCAAAGGACACACATGTAGGGGCGGTCTCCAGTATCTATCCACAAGAGAGAAATCGTTAGATCACTGAGAAGAGCAAGGTAGATTGCCAACTGATAATCAAAACTTACGGCGTAACAAATGGCGTTTTAAATGGAA